AGCAAAAAATTAGAAATTTTTTTAGCCCAAAAAATTTTGAAAAAAGTCGAAACTTGGGGTATAGGGGTCGAATTTCGAAAAACCCAAAATTTTTCAGTTTTTTAAAAAATTTTCGGGATTTTTGCATTTGTTTCGGGCCGAATATATTTTTCCTGAATTGAGCAGATTTTTCTGCATCGGATAAAATTTAAAAATTTTCAAAAAAGGCTAACTTTAAGCAAGTTATGATTTTTTGAAAATTTTAAAGATTTTTTTCGGCCGAATTTTCCCGGAAAAAATTATAATTTCAAAAATCAAGATAGATATGTCAAATGATATATCATTCGAAAGCTCTCATCGAGATGACTTTAAAAATATTTTTTTCGAATTTTTTCGGTACATTTTAACGAACATACAGAGGTTCGAAAATTTGTGGGGTGGAGTACCGTACCCAGAGAATGATGGGAGGGAGGGAGAAAAAATGATTGACAGGTGAAATGTTTGGAAGAGAAGCAAAATTATTCTGCGTCTCTGACCATACGGGGCAAACCGTAGAAGAGTTTAAAGGTGAATTTTGTATATAGAGAAAAATTTTGAGGTGGGATAAGCTGGATCCTGTTATGGATCCGAAGCAGAAGATGCTTCTGCTTCACATTTTTGCTTCAGTTTCGAATTTTTGAAACTTGAAGCAAATTTGCTTCCGGTTTTGGATTTTTGAAACTTGAAGCAAATTTGCTTCATGTTTTGGATTTTTGAAACTTAAAGCAAATTTGCTTCAGGTTTTGAAATTTTTGAAACTTGAAGCAAATTTGCTTCAAGTTTTTTATTTTTGATTTTAGAAGCAATTTTGCTTCAGCTTTTAAAATAATGATTAGGTAGTTGAATTAGTCCCAACTGAGAAAACACGAGGGTCGAAGGCCCGAAGTCCCAACTGGGAGAAGAAGAGGGCCGACGGCATAATGTAATTCTGATTGGAAGGATGTCCTATCCTAATATTTATATGAATAGGATCATGTTACGAGCCCAGAACCTTTGATTGGAAGGATGAGTTCCATCCTAATCGTTATAGGAATAGGCTCATGTTACGAGCCAAGAACCCAGCGACCTTTGACGCCCCGCGAGGCGCGTGCCGCAAAACCCCGCGCGAAGCGCGGGGTTTTGCACAAGCGCCTCGCCTACGCTCCATAGGTTTACGTTCATCTAAAATTGAGGGCGAGGGCCGAAGGCCCGATCAGACGCCCATCTAAAAGAGAGGGCCGAAGGCCCGAGCTGACACCCATCTAAAAGGGAGGGCGAGGGCCGAAGGCCCGAGCTGACACCCATTTAAAAGAGAGGGCGAGGGCAGAAGGCCCGAGCTAACACCCATCTAAAATGAAGTTGAATGAGCTGCGTGAGTGGATGAGCTGCTGCATAGGAGACCCGGCATGCAACATAATAGTTATAGGAATAGGATCATGTTACGAGCCCAGAAGCCAGCGACCTTTGACGACCCGCGAGGCGCGTGCCGCAAAACCCCGCGCGAAGCGCGGGGTTTTGCACAAGCGCCTCGCCAACGATCCATAGGTTTACGTTACCATTCTTAATCTAAAAGGAGTCGCGAGGGCCGAAGGCCCGAGCTGACACCCATCTAAAAGGGAGGGCGAGGGCCGGAGGCCCGAGCTAACACCCATCTAAAAGGGAGTGCGAGGGCCGAAGGCCCGAGCTGACACCCATCTAAAAGGGAGGGCGAGAGCCGGAGGCCTGAGCTGACACCCATCCAAAAGGGAGGGCGAGGGCCGAAGGCCCGTGCTGACACCCATCTAAGAGGGAGGGCGAGGGCCGGAGGCCCGAGCTAACACCCATCTAAAAGGGAGGGCGAGAGCCGTAGGCCTGAGCTGACACCCATCCAAAAGGGAGGGCGAGAGCCGGAGGCCTGAGCTGACACCCATCCAAAAGGGAGGGCGAGGGCCGGAGGCCTGAGCTAACACCCATCTAAAAGGGAGTGCGAGGGCCGAAGGCCCGAGCTGACACCCATCTAAAAGAGAGGGTGAGGGCCGAAGGCCCGAGCTGACACCCATCTAAAAGGGAGGGCGAGAGCCGGAGGCCTGTGCTGACACCCATCCAAAAGGGAGGGCGAGGGCCGAAGGCCCGTGCTGACACCCATCTAAGAGGGAGGGCGAGGGCCGGAGGCCCGAGCTAACACTCATCTAAAAGGGAGGGCGAGAGCCGTAGGCCTGAGCTGACACCCATCCAAAAGGGAGGGCGAGGGCCGGAGGCCTGAGCTAACACCCATCTAAAAGGGAGGGCGAGGGCCGGAGGCCTGAGCTAACACCCATCTAAAAGGGAGTGCGAGGGCCGAAGGCCCGAGCTGACACCCATCTAAAAGGGAGGGCGAGAGCCGGAGGCCTGAGCTGACACCCATCCAAAAGGGAGGGCGAGGGCCGAAGGCCCGTGCTGACACCCATCTAAGAGGGAGGGCGAGGGCCGAAGGCGAAGTGACTCTAAGTGGAAGGATGAGTCCCAATGAAGGCTAATCTTTTGTTCCAGGCATAAAAAATCGCTAGCGGCGCGCGAAGCGCGCCCCCAAAGCCGTAGGCTTTCGAACGGGCAGAGCCAAATTTAAACCCAAAGCAAAATTTAACCGCCACAGTGTCCTCATATCAACTCCAGTGGCCAAACCCATCGCTAGTTATATATATATATAAAAAACCCCGACACCTCCCCCTTTTTTGGCCGTAAAATCCCTTTCAAAAATTCCGCCGGCCGAAGGCCGGCGGCTGGAATTTTTTGAGTGGTACATTTCTCCTACAACTTTTTACGCTCTATTCAGGAAAAATCTAACCTCGGCACTGAAACGTCTTTTCGCGCTGAAACGGCCATGGGTGGTTTTTCAAATGGAAATAGCGCGGAGGGGTGAAGTTAAATCAAAAAATGCTTGCTGGGAGGATTTTAAGTTGGGATGTGTACTATATCGTATGAAAAATTTGGGAGGGCTCGGATCAACTCTCCGACCTGTAGCCTCGTGGAAAAATTGCACATCTCGTCCCAAAATGACACATGGTGTCCGACGAAAATCACCGACAATTTTCAATCTATATGCCATTCGATAGAGCTCCATGAGTAGGTTCTGGGAAAATTTGTTTTAAATTTTTCTGACCATTTTGGGCAAAGTTATAAAACGCCAAAGGTCCGAAATGTCCAAAACCCCTAACGTGAAGGGTGGCTCCCATCGAATGTAATTATAAAATTGCTTAGGAAAGGGCAAATGGTTTCAACTCTTTTTTAGTATGTTAGGGCACTAAATGTACTACAATTTTGTTGGGGGACACTTGAGTCTGGGATTTTTTCCTGACATAGTTATGGGCACCAAAGTGACCTCGCCAAAACCGACTTTTTAACGCGTGAATTGAAACTCGATTTGAGTATCCTATCTTGTAGAGCGTCCCTTGAAACCTCTAAAAATATATACTTTGTTGGGGGTACACTTGAGTCTGGGAAAGTTATAGGGCCAAAAGTGGCATTTTTGGGGCAAAAAGTGGCCGGTTTATTGAGCATAACTTTTTTTAAAAAATTTTTAAAAATAAACGGAGTTCGGATTCGTGTTCAGCACCTATTGGAGTACCATAAAACATATTTTTCTCGAGGTCGCATTTCTGACCCATTTTTGAAGGGGTACCCCTTTTGAAATTTTTGGGTAAAATTTAAATCGTGTGTAACTTTGTTCATTTTTGTCGTAGCCAAACGAATTGAACGTTATAAAATAGAGCAAAAAATTACAAATTTTTTGAGCTATTTAAATTTTTGAAAAATTTTACCCGAGGCCTGGTAGGGTCGATTTTTTTAAAATTCAAAATTTTTCGGTTTTTTGAAATTTCCTGGGGTATATTGAGGCTGATGGTGGTTGAATACATTTTTATAAAATAGAGGAGAATTTTTACTATATAATAAGCTTTTAAAATCTTTCAAAAGGTTTTATATTTGGGGATTTATGATTTTTTGAAAAATTGCTCGAATTTTTGGGTAAAAATTTAGGCCAAAAATTTATTTTTTCCAAAATGACATAAAATAGGGCAAATGTTATATCAATCGAAAGCTCTCATCGAGCTGAGCTTAAAAATATTTTTTGTAAAATTTTCTGACCATTTTGTACAAAGTTACAAAAGGTCGAAATTTCGGGTGTAGGGGGTTTGGGGGCCCAAGGCCCCCAAGCGGCGGGCCGGAGGCCCGCCGTGCGAGGGCCGAAGGCCCGAGCTTAAGACCCATCACAAAACAAATCGCGAGGGCCGAAGGCCCGAGTTTAAGATCCATCCCAAGACGAATCGCGAGGGCCGAAGGCACGAGCTTAAGACCCATCCCAAAACAAATCGCGAGGGCCGAAGGCCCGAGCTTAAGACCCATCACAAAACAAATCGCGAGGGCCGAAGGCCCGAGTTTAAGATCCATCCCAAGACGAATCGCGAGGGCCGAAGGCCCGAGCTTAAGATCCATCCCAAGACGAATCGCGAGGGCCGAAGGCCCGAGTTTAAGATCCATCCCAAGACGAATCGGGAGGGCCGAAGGCCGGAGCTTAAGACCCATCCCAAAACAAATCGCGAGGGCCGAAGGCCCGAGTTTAAGATCCATCCCAAGACGAATCGCGAGGGCCGAAGGCCCGAGCTTAAGATCCATCCCAAGACGAATCGCGAGGGCCGAAGGCCCGAGTTTAAGATCCATCCCAAAATAAATAGCGAGGGTTGACGGCCCGAGTCGAACTTCTGGGTGTGCGTGGTTTGGGGGCCGAAGGCCCGAGCGTAAGACCCATTGCAAAACGAATCGCGAGGGCCGAAGGCCCGAGCTTAAGACCCATCCCAAAACGAATCGCGAGGGCCGAAGCCCGAAGCAATGAAAAGGCAGGTAATCTTTACCGTTTCTAGCAGCGCGCGAAGCGCGCCCCAAAGCCGATAGGCTTTCCAACGGGCACCCCAAAATTTTACCGCCAGAGTATCCTAATGGGAATTGCATACGTAACTTACCGCCATACCCCAATGGGCACAGCTAGTTAATTTATAAAATATTTTTTCAGACTTATATCAATTTTGCCTATGATTTATTTAAAATCTCCAATATGTCCACATTAACACAGCAACGTTCACGTAAATTAACTTTGGCTTACCAAATAGCTAATGGAGTTGAGAATATAAGGAACGAGCCTTCTTCTTCACCACACTTTGCATTTGTTGATGTTTTGGAAAAGTATTTTAGAATTTGTAATACTAAACCTATTAAACAGGTTTGTATTTAATTAAGGCAAGAATTTTTTGGGGTTAACTGTTGTGTTTTTAATATAATAAATACAACATTCCGGAAAACAAGTTTAATATATTCTATTTTATTTCCGGAAAATAAGTTGAATTTTTCCGGAAAACAAGTTTTCTTTATTTCCTGAAACTAAGTTTTATTTTTTTTCTTTTCCGGAAAACAAGTTGGATATATTCTATTTTCCGGAAAACACGTTTATTTCTTCCGGAAACGTTATTTTTGTTCCGGAAATAGGTTTAATAATATTTTCCGGAAAACAAGTAATAAAATAGGTATATATTTTCTATTCCGGAAAACAAGTTTAATTTATTAATTATTTTTATATTTTCCAGGGTGATATTCCTTTCGAGTTCAAACTTTATCACAACTTTATTGAACGTTCTGTTTTAAGTTGTATTATTGAAATTAAATATTTTGTCGTTCCAAAAAGTCGAACTTCAGACGGGCAAATGGTTTGTATGCAAAAAATGTTATGGCTAATAAATAATGGGGTAATTGAATATTTACATGTGGTTGCCCCCCATGAGGATTGGCATTATGAAGATTGTGCAGGGATTGTTGGGAAAAAACAGGCAAATTTTGGAGAGATTTTTAAATTAATTTTTAAATATTTTTTAGGTAGATTTGAGCAAGCAAAGTCGTTTTGAAGTCTATCAAAAAATTACTTCTTCTGCAAATATGGTCTAATTTTAATTTAAAAAATTTTTTTCTCGAGAAAAATTTTTTTCAATTTAAAAAATAAAAAATTTGGGACAATTGTGTAGTTTACCCCCCATAAGCCCCGCCCCCTTCATAAGCCCCGCCCCCTTTTTCTTCTTTCTTCAATTTTCATCAAGTTAAGGACGATGGGCAAGCAAAAAATGGGCCATTTTTAAAAAATCGAAGAGAGCTGAAAAGGGGTGGAGCTTATGGGGGGTAAACTACATTATACCAATTTTTCCAAAAAAAAAATAAAAAAAATTAAAAAAAATTTTTTAGATGGTTTCAACAGCTACAAACAGTTTACCTATCCCCCTCTCTAATAAAATGTACAGTATACTTTTTGGACAACTTTCTCGCCTGGTTATAATTGATCAAAAATGTATGAGGTGTGGAAAGAGACTGCGCGATTTTACGCCTGTTGTGTTACATAGAAATCCTAGCCATAATTCTTGTAAATGAGAGAAAAAGAAAAGTTTATTTTTAAGGAGATGTTTTTGCTTTAATTTAATTTATTTTTTCCAACTTGTTTTCCGGAAAAGTTTAAAAATATGTTTTTGTCAACTTTTAATATAATAAATACAACTTTCCGTAAACTTTTTTAATATATTCAATTTTATTTCCGGAAAACAAGTTGAATATATTCTATTTTCCGGAAAATTCTATTTCTTTTTTTCCGGAAAACAAGTATATGTATATACATATTTTTTCTAGAAACAAGTTTTCTTTTTTGTCTTTCCGGAAAACTTGTTTTCCGGAAAAGTTTAAAAATACATGTTGTTTTCAATATATACCTAACTTGTTTTTTTATAAAACTTTAAAACATTTACTATGTTTAATTTATTTTCCGTAAAGTTTAATTTAAACTTTAATTCTTTCACCAACATTAAATTAATGTGTTAAACTTTTGACTAGTGAAGGAATTTTAAAATGTTTGGCTTGAATCCAGTATCTGAATTGCAAGCTAATAATCCTTCAAATTTATGGATGGAATATTCTAAAGAAAGAGTATGCAACGAAGCAAAGACTTTGCCGTTAGTTCAAATAAATTTTGAATTTTTGATTTTATAGATTGAATGAACCAATCCATCCAGACCGTGTTCGTTTTGTTTGTATAAGTGATACACATAATCATCTTGATGAAATTCTTCATTGTATTCCGCCTGGAGATGTAAGAATAACTAGTACTTTTTATGCATTAATAGTGTAAAGCATATAGCTATTAATTTCCTAAGGCTGAGCAGTAGGCGGCGTGGTGTAATGGCTAACACATCAGTCCGGTCTACTGAAGATGCTGGTTCGCTCCCAGCCGCCGAATAACCTTTTGCACTAGCTAAAGGAGAGAAATAGCTATAGCCCAGCTGCTTTACTATAGTTGTAAGAGAAAAGTTTCCGGAAATGTTTAATATCTGTAATATATTTGTTTTCCGGAAAGTATTATATAATTAAACTTTTCCGGAAAGAAGATACATGATTAAACTTTTCCGGAAAGAAAATAGAATATATTAAACTTGTTTTCCGGAAAGAAAATACAATTAAACTTGTTTTCCGATATTTTCCCATGAAAAGTTTCCGTTAAGTTTCTATCAGTTGAATATTCTATTTGTTTTCCGGAAAGAAAATATAATTAATTAAACTTGTTTTCTGGAATAGAATTAATTAAACTTGTTTTCCGGAATAGAATATATTCAACTTACTTTTCTCTACAAAATTGAAACACTTGTTTTATATTTTACTTTGTTTTCCGGAAAGTTTAATTTTTTAAAAAATAGGTTCTGCTTCATTGTGGCGATTTTACCAATTTTGGAGATTTGGATGAGCTTGAAAAATTCAACAAAGAACTCAAACAACTTCCCCATCGTTACAAGATTGTTATTGCTGGGAATCATGAATTGGGGTTTGAGGATGGTGAGGATATTAGTGGGAGAAGGGCAAATGCTAATATGTGGAGGTTGGGCTCTGGAAGCCGTGGAACCCCTCAAGGCTACAAACATTTAACTGATTGTATTTATTTGCAAGATTCTTCTGTAAAGGTGGGAGTGTTTGGTTTATTTAAAAGTCGGTGTTTATTGAATTTCCAACTTGTTTTCCGGAATGTTTGATATTAGACTGCTATAAATTCCGGAAAACAAGTTTAACATATAATTGAATAAAAATAAACTTGTTTTCCGGAAAACAAATAGGTATTAATTATAGTTGTTGTTTTCCGGAAAATTACAATATATTAAACCTATTTTTTATTACATCTAAAACTTGTTTTCCGGAAAATTTTGTGGTATATTTTACTTTTTTTCCGGAAAGCAAATATAAGTAAAATTAATTAAACTTGTTTTCCGGAAAAATACAATATATTCAACTTTTTTTTCTATTACATTTAAAACTTATTTTCCTGAAAGTTTAAAAGACAATTTGAACAAATATTAATTAGACAATGTTTTGATTTTTTCTAGATTTATGGAATCAACATTTTCGGCTCTTCTTGGCATCCACTTCCAGGATTTTCCTTCTACCGTTCTAGAGGCGTAGCGATTTTCAAAGAATGGTTAAAAATTCCACAAGCCGAATTTTTGGGAGAAAACTACAGACCTGTTATCGATGTTTTAATGACACATTCACCTCCATTAGGTCATTCTGATCTTCCACCAAGAGGGGATAGAATGGGGGATGCCGATTTACTTAATATTGTGGAAAAGGCAGTGAAGCCGAGGTGCTTCAATTATTAATAGAAAATTAAACTTGTTTTCCGTTATTTCCGGAAAGTAATATTATTTAAATTTATTTTCCGGAAACAATACATATTTTTCGGACATTTTAATATTTTCCGGAAATCTAGTATATAAATACAAATTAGTTTCCGGAAAGAAAATTAAATATACAAATAAACTTTTTCCGGAAGTAATATTAATATATTTATTTTCCGGATTTCTTCCTCTATTTTCCGGAAATTATTAATATAATTCGTCTTCCGGAAAAATTAGTATTAATATATATTTTCCGGAAAACAACTTAAATATAAAAATAAACTTGTTTTCCGGAAAGTTTTAATTTATATTACAACTTGTTTCTATTATTTCTTAGAGTCCATGTTTTTGGGCACACTCATGAACCCAGACCTGTTGCTACAACAAACGGAGAAACTTTATTTATTAATGCTGCAATATGTTCGGATAAAAACACGCCTTTAAACAACCCGGTGCTTTTTGATTTGCCATTACCAGAAGGGGAGAAAAAAGAATAAAAAAATTATTTTTTGATAAATTATCAATTTTTTCTCAAGATTTTTACTTGAAAAAATTATTTTTTTTCAAATTTTTAAATTTTTATAAAATTTTTTCAAAAAAAAAAATAAAAAAATATTCTAAAAACCACCACACTTTTTTATCATTTTTTAAGTACTAAAAATTTTTCCATATATAGCAAATTCGTTTAAATATGGATACATTTCAATAGATGGGAAATAAAGTATTTTAGTAGTAAAATAACGGCCAATCTCCATTATTCTCTACCAGTCACTTAAATTCTTTTTTTTCTTGTTTATCCAGAATAGGGGTTGGATTTGCCTTGCTTCTCCAACTAAAAAATTTTTTTTAAAAAATAAAAAAAAATTTTACAATTCGTCCAAGCGACAAAAGCGTGACGCAGACAGAGAACAAGTCGCGGGCTTCGAATAAATCAACAGACTGGAAAAGTTCTTCGGTTGGAACGCCTGTTTCTTTTGCGAATTTTACAAAAGCGTTGATATTCTGTAGAAAAGATTTTTTAATTTATTAAAATTTAATTTACCTCCATGCAGGCAAAGTTTCCGCCAGTTGGATTTTGTATTTTTTTAACGGTGCCTGGTTTAAGTGCATTTGCAGTCCTTAAAATTATTAAACTTGAAACTTAAGTTTTTAAGTTTATAAACAATACATATAGTAAAATTTAAGTTCAACTTTAAAACTTGTTTTCCGGAAAAATAGCAAGGGTATGTTTTCCGGAAGGATTAAACATGCTAACTAAATTCTAGTATCAATAGATATGTATTTTCCGGAAAGAATTAAATATGCAACTTTTTTCCGGAAAAATCGCAATGGAAATACAAACTTTACAATTGCAAGTTTTAAGTTTTCCGGAAAGTTTAAATTAATAATTTTCAAGTCTTTTCCGGAAATATTAATAAACTTACTTTCCGGAGTTTAAATAAATAATAGAATTTCCGGATAAAATTTTATAGCGAGTATTTTCTTTCCGGAATTCCGGAAGTATTATTCTTTCCTGAAATAAAACAGCCTACTTACTTGCATAAAAGTGTCCCGTCTTTCAACAAATTGTAAAAGTTTTCACGGTTCCCAGTTGGCTGGAATCCTTCACCGCTCAACTTCTTTATCCATTTAAGCAACATTTCGCCTTCATAATCGTTGTATTTGCTTGCTTGTTTGGCAACAACTTGGAAACCGAGTCCACCGGGAGTTTGCCGAGAAGACATTTTTTGTGTTTAGAACTTTAAAATTGATAGAGGAATTGAAAAATTTATTTTAAAATTAAAAAGGCTTGATTTATAAAATAAACTAAGTGTACTTAAGGGATTCTTAGGGGATTCAAATAGGTACCTATACTAAATTTTATTAAATTGATTAAACTATTAATAATGGATGGGGCTTTAAAATTAAAGAAATTTTGTTTAGAGTAAACTAAAATTTAAGTTTAAGATGGGGAAAAGCGAATCAAAAATATTTGGTGGACTCTTCAATAGCTTTCAAAACTTCTCTCAGAACTGCCCTCATTTTTCTCTCCTCATTTTTAGATCGGATGTGAACGCCTGTTTAGATATATTTTGAACAGGCGTTAGTTAAAAGAACATTTTTTGTTTTTCTCTAATTTGGCTTAAATTGAGGATATTACGAACAAGTTTAATTTCTTTGTTTTAATAATTGTTTTTCTATTTTTCCAACTTGGATTTGAACTTTAACATTTACAATTTGTAAAACTTCTTAATTTGTAATTTGTAAATAATTAAAAACTTGTTTTACAAATTGTAAAATAATTCAAGTTTAAACTTTACAACTTGTTTTATTCTCCCTACAACTTGTTTTCTATTCTTTTCCGGAAATATTAATAAACTTGTTTTCCGGAAAGTTTAAAACAAACTTGTTTTGTTTAAAACTTTTCCAACTTGTTTGTTAAAACTTGTTTTAAAACTTTTTTTAAAACATTTTAAGATTCTTTTCCAAACATTTCTCTGTTTGTCTCTCCTTCTCTCTTTTCCTTCACATTTGTGAAAACAGGAAACAGCTGCAGGGTAAAACAAAAATCCTAGTATAATTAAAAAAACTAATGGGATCATCTTTGCTTTTATTTCTAACACATTTTTAAGACGCCCACACGAATGTTAGAGGAAAATAAAAATGAGTTGAAGGAATAAAAAAATAAAATCCTTAAATTAATTTTGAGGGCTTATGTAGGATTTTTTAGGTTCATCCAACGGATAATGAGTTATTTTTTGAGTAGTCTATCTTCAAAAATTAGAGATTTCCTTAGAATTTAATGAATAACAAGAATTTTTTTTCAAAATAATTTCCATTAACTTGTAGAATTGCGCAACAGAAAAATTATTTAAGAAAGGCACAAATTGATGGATTGACTTTAATTTCCGTTTTCCTTCTATTCACTGCAAGAAAAATTGCTTTTCGAGATTAACCACCTTATAAATACTAATACAACTTGATTGACCGGATTACTTGTTTTTCTATTTGATTAGTGCCTCATAATTTAATACAGAAAGGAGAATAATAAAAAACTTTAATATTTTAATTTGTAAAACTAAACAGCAAAACAATTTAGAAAAAAAGTTGAAAATATTAGAGTTGTAAAACTTGAAAGAATTTGTAAATTAAACTTAAGTTCAACAAGTTTTAAATTAATAAAATAGAAAAAGTTGTAAAAAAAGGTTGGTATTTGTAAAAAAAGTTGGATTTGTAAATTTAGTGGAATTTGTAAAAAAATTGTAAAAACAATTTGGATTGTAAAAAAGGTTGGAAAATTGTAAAAATGTTTGGTTGTAAAAAAAGTTGGTATTTGTAGAAAAGGTTGGATTGTAAAAAAAGGTTGAATTTATAAAAACAAGTTGGAATTTGTAAAAAAGGTTGGAAAAAGGTTGGTATTTGTAAACCAACGTTCGATTGTAAAATAAACTTGGAATTGTAAAAGTTATGGTATTTGTAAAAAAAGTTTGTAAATTGTAAAAATGTTTGACTGTAAAATGTTTGAATTTGTAAAAAAGAGTTTGAATTTTTTATTGTATTTCCAAGAAATTTATATTTTCTTTCTAATGTCTTTTCATCACCTCCACACAATAATAGTCATTGTTCCTCAACTTTTTTAGTGTTGGATTGTTCTTTACTTATTATGCGAAGATATTCAAATCCAATCCACTCTTTTTTACATACTTCCAGCAGTGTTAAACAATAACCCTAACAAGCTTATTTTAATCCATTTCATCTTTACATTGTCTCAACTTTTTCCTTCTTTATTTATTTTTACTAATAAATTCAAATTTAAACAAAAGTAATTAATACCACAAACTTGCTACTAAATAATAAAAAAATTTGAAATAAGCTTTAGATTTTGAATATCAAACTTCTACTGTCTCTCCCCATAAGCATCTACATATACCGTATTTACTCGATTAATTCACCTGGGAAATTAATATTTCAACCCATCCATAGCATGGGGAAGGGAATTATAAGTCCTTTAAGTCCATTTTAAGTCCATTAAGTCCCATTAAAGGAAGGGGACTTATATTCGAAGGAGGGGAATTATTCGAATTTTGGCATTTGAACGTGCATTAAGGTATTTGGGGGTGGTGAATTGTTATTTCAACCCAACTCTAGTGTGGGGAATTAATCGAAGGGAGAATTAATCAAGAGGAATTAATCGAGAGGGGAATTATTCAAGGGAGAATTATTTGAGGGAGGGGAATTAATCGAAAAAATACGGTACATATACCAACCTTTTTTTTACAACTTCAACCTTTTTCCGGAATTGTAAAATACTCTAACCTGGTTGGAATACTTAAAATTTATTTTCCGGAATTATTTCCGGAAAGTGTGTATACCTATACAAA